CACATAAAATGTAAGTTAAATAGCGCGCTGCGTATGCGGCAGACAAAAGGCGGCTTACACTAAACGAAGAAGATTTACGTGGCGCCGCGGTACGCTTGTAAACAACGCGAGCCACCTACTAATTTGCGATCATTTTAGCGGTGTTTCCTGCCAATTAGCCGCTTTAAAACATCGCACCGCCAAACAAAGGGGGCTGGCTCATGAATTTATTGTTAGGTTACTGTCTTAAGTTATTTAAGTGTTCGTAGAACGTTATTCACGTGCGACGCCGCGCAGAATGCAGCTTCCTGCGACAATTTATCATGAATCTTTAATTAAACTTTAGCCGCGACTGTTCACAGTCTCATTGAGCTTCACAATAAATCCCTCGTATCGATTGTACATTATTAATTATTTGTCTCGGTTCCTTATTTTATAAGATGTTACGTTAAAAATGTTTCTTGAGGTTAAATTGGAGGTCAGAATTAAAGATTTTTCTTTGAGTAATTTTGAGAACTAATATTGTTACAACCATACTTATAGTCTGGGCTATAAAAGTTAAGTAAGTAATGCAATTCTTTGCTGGAGTTTGTGATTCCTGAAGAGTGTCTTCAAGGCCCGGGCGAATTGATTGCTTATAGTTAGGCGTGCTCCATCGTAATTCGTATTATTGCTTACCACCAGGGGAGATAGTGGAAGAAACCCAATGAAATAAGGGTTTACGTCAATGGGTTTATTATAAACAATTTGATTAATAACATAAGTAATCAAAAGGTCGATTATTCTAATGTCATTGTAGAGCCAGGTGAACATTTTTATGCTTTTTACAATATACTTAAGGTTTTTTAAACTTTGCCCCACACGTTTTTTGTCATATGTCGTGGTTGTGTTTATTAACATGCATATTCACATACCCAGACCCGATACAAAAATTTGTGAATCATACAAAGTGTTCGTCCGTTCGGGAATTGACCCCGCGACACGTACAAAGAAGTCAATTGAAAAGCCGCTACACTAATCGTGCAGTGAAAAACGTTAAAACTTATTAAAAAAAACCTAAGTATACAGGGTTACTGGTAACTCGACGTATTCCTTGCAGGACGTCATAGTAGGGCAAGTAGTAAAATGCAACAAATTAAGCCACCAAATGTTCTACCGAAATTCAGTAGTTTTTGAGTTATTTTGATTTTTAGTATTTTTATGAAAAATCCCAGATTAAATCATTTGGAGCCAATTCAAAAATTATTTACGGCACGACTCCTATCCGGACGTGAAATTTAAGGTAACCGAGTTTAGTTGGCCAGAAAAAAGTAGTTTGACATCCCTAGAGTATAGTTTCAATAGACAAATAGGTAGTATGTTATCCTTGAACGCGCAGCTGCACTTGTATTACACAAGGAGTATGAACATATCTCCCCAACTAACCACCACAAAGAGTGCGGCTGAATGGTAATTTCTTATGTTACAAAGATTCTACTATGTATGTGTAATCTTTGAGACAATCCTTTTGATATTATTCTTTGTCTTTCGTTATTATAGAGGGGATTGTAAGTGTGGTAGGTTACAAGTAAAATTACATGCATATATATATGTATACTTTAACGAGTTGTAGCCCGGAATTTAAGACACCCGCTTCTCATACATCAATGTGACTTTTTGTACCAAGTTAAATGTACCTTTATGATTATACAGACATCACTGACATACGGTGCAGAATAAAAATCTGGACTCATAATTTCTGATTATATGTTGAAATCGCCAGTCCGGCTTGGCAAGCGTGGTGATTAATGTTTAAAACGTCTCCATGTGAGAAGAGGCCTTTGCTGAGCAAGGCACTTAAATTCCGATTATATGACGTGATAGAATCCAGCATTTATTAATACAAAAGGGTAAACAGAGGTGTTTTATATTCATTTTCCTTTTGAAAATAACGTTGTTCCCGTACTTTTATTTCTCTCTCCTTTTGTCCTGGGTGTGTTAAAAAACATACACAACCCACACAGATCCGAAACAGCAAATTAAGACCAACCAAAGTGTTGTTCCATCCGAGAATCGACCCCGCGACACGTTGCACAGCAGCCAGTCGCCCCGCCACTGCGTCATTTATATCCATATTTAATTAGTTATGTAATGAGTCCCTTGTAATAATGGTTGAGCCTTTTAATACACTATCATTTTATATATGAACATGGCCCATTATACTCTTTATAAAAAATATCTTAAAGTATGGCTAGCGTGAAGATTGTAGTGAAACCTCTTACGTAGAACAGGTCCATAGAGAATAGTAGTGGTTTATCATGACACTAATGTCGAATCTATTCAGATATTATAAAGCTGTAGAGTTTGTTTGTTTTTTGAACGCGCCTATCTCCGGAACTGCTGGTTCGAATTGAACAAATATTATTGTGTTTGTCACTCCATTTATTGAGTAAGGCTATATAGGTTACAAAACATCACGCTTCGACCTGTAGGAGCCGAGTAGTGTTCCATAAGACAGAATAAAATTGCATAGATCCACTTACCTCGGTCTGTGAAAACATCGCATAAAACCAAAATTAAATGATGAAAGTTTCAAAGTTTCGTTCGTTTTATAATAAAATTACCTGTGTCAGTTTGCCGGCTGAATTCAATTAAGAACTTTTTGAGTACTTTTATAAATACTTGTGGGATATCTGGTTTAATTGATAGTTATATTATTTTCAAGTTTTTTGGTTTGCTTCGAAGTTGTAAAGAAGAGGATGGAATATTATTGGTATTATATACATTCAGCATCTTTTTTATGGTATTAATCGGCAAACGAGCAGACGGATTACCTGTTGGCAAGCAATCGGCGCCGCCCATGGACACCCGCAACACCAAAGGAGTTACGAGTGCGTTGCCGGCTTTTTGGGGATGGGGTTGCAGATATAAGGATTAGGAAGGGATAGGAGAAAGGGAGGGATTGGGCCTCCTCACACGGCGAAACACAACGCTGTGGGTTGGTTCACGCCGGTATTCTGTGAAGCCGTGGTATCACTCCGGTCGAGCCGACCCATTCGTGCCGAAACTTGGCTCTCCCAAAAATTATCAGGCATCAAAATTATTTTGCATTATAGTGTTAAGAAGAATATCACACTTTTGTATATTTATTTTAATGAGTTTACTTTGTGTCTGCTACGCAGTGCTATACTTAGTATAATCCTCAAATCAATAGTCCTAACACTAATTTACCTATCAGGAATCCGGACACACTTACAAAATATTACTTTAATAATTATTGTTGTAGGAAAAAATATTATAAATGCGATACGCTGTCATGCGTTTTAATTAAGTACTGTAAAATTAAAATTATATTTATAGGCACTAGCTGACCCGGCAAACTTCGTACATACACAAAATTAATTAATATTTAAAATTAATAGTGCCTGCTTCCTTACTTGCCAAATAATATATGTTATTGCACTTCTATATGACAATTTATTGCAATTTACGGGATCAATTCAAGCCTATTCAAGACTACAATCTATCTCTACGCCAAATTGCATTCATATCCGTTCAATAGATTTTACACGAAAGGGAAAAAAATATCCATCCATCCTTATTTACAAACCTTTCGCTTCAAAGCATTGGTAGGATTTTAGTTATAGATATCTTTGTTCCATAACGTACGCACCAAAGCGCAGTATCTATTTTCAGCCAAAAAATTCTATAGTATTCGAATACAAAAAAAAGTCACACCGACGTAATATGCATATTTACTTAATTCCATAAATTACATATATTTACAACAATATCAACAAACATTTACGTCTAATATATATTTCCCTATGCGTAACAGATTAGCTATACATCATATAAATCTCTACACGAAGTCTATACATAAATGATTTCTACAAGTATTGCGTATAACTGTTTATAAATATACATAATATAATGTTCCCTATGACTCATAGACCCGTCAACTTACCCTTTTAGCCGAAAAATAAGATATTAATATTTATTTAAATTTACATTCATTCGTGAATAGGTTAGTGACCTTCGTATATTTTGTATTAGTGTTAAGGATAACTGCCGTTCCCACAGACATTTAATGATTACTTAAATGATTCCTTAGTAACGATTTCGTTCCGACAAGAATTGTTAAGTAACTACTATAGGCTGCGAGTACAGCAGTCAACCTATTGGCAGACATTTAGGTACATACAACTACATATTGAATGCATAGAAACCCAACACATAGGTAGGTAATATAGCAACAAATCACGCTAAAATTTGAAAAAACAAACAAGAAGAATATACGGAATAAAACCAACGCATTATTTAGTTAACTCCTACTATAAATAAAACAGAAATAACACTAACATTTTCATACATTACGTTAAACAAATTGATTTGTATGTTTGCGAATACGTTGAACAAACACGGGGGGTAAACATTAAAATCAGATGGAAGTATTCACAACGCAAAACAAAATATGGTTTGAAGTTTGTTCAGCCAATCGTTATTCTAAACGCGATCCAAAAGGCACTAGATTTTAATAATATAAGTTTTCAATTGATACGTTTTCGAAAATCGTTGTTGTTGATTTAATTTAAATAATAAAATTAAAAATTATAATGAGTACATACATGTATACAGATAGAGGGTTTAGCAAACCATAGAATATATTATTCAGTTATAAAGATGATGACAACGGCCAAATCAATATCGTTTTCGTCATACGAAAAACGATAAATTACTACGAATGATTTTGTTGCAAGTTAGTCTGAAAAAACAAACGCTAAAATATTTTAATCAATGGCAAAATGAGTAGCACTATTTACATAAATAATTTATACATGAAAATAATTTATTTGACGCAGCTAGCATCCCTATTCGACATTTACATTCGAACTCGGAATAAACATGTATTTAAGGAGCGGTTTCTCCAACAAATATTTACTTCGAAACGAAGAACAAGCCGCTGCAATATTTCTTCAGAAGTATTATACCTTCTATTTGTACACATACAGACATACATAAATATAAACTGGAAAGGTATAATTCACTAAAGTGGGGCAAACATCACACCTATTCGTAATCTTTCTAATTTACATTTATTTCACATCGTTGTTATCTTATTCAAGTAAATACATTTTTAAATGTATTTTTTATCGAAAATGTAATGTTAATTTATAACAATAACATTATACAGAAGCAAATAACAGAATATTAGACAATTCGTAATAATAAGCACAACCGGCTTGAGACTTACAAACCACTGAGGGTGTCTTAAAGCGGACTGAAAATTGAAATCATGCCCTTTATGGAAACCCTTGGGAACAAAGACAACTGGATATTTACTATAGGACAAGTTTATTTCAATACCAAATCCCTTAAAACACGAATTAAATTTATATTGAAGACCATTAATAATTTCTTTAAAATAAACCTTTTATGACAAGCTTTCAATTTTAAATCCCTAAACATCCTACCTCGTATAATCATGTAAACCCATTCATAGATATATAATTTACGCATGAAAACACAACGTTGACACATCACTATAGAACTAATGTAATTGCATATTTGTTAATGTACATAGCGCTTGAAAAACTTGGGAAAGTAATTAGAAAGCGTCAATGAACAACAAATGTCACAGGATCACAATATAAATTCATCATCGGCATATAAGGCTCTCTTCTCTCGCTGCGCAGACGCCGTGAGGCGGGGCGAGGAACAGCTTGCCGTTCGCGCATGCGCACAGCTGGTAAATATTCTGGTGGTGAGGATCATGCGTATGCGCAGACGGCGGTAGTGGCAACGCCGATTTTAATTTTGGCATAAATATACTGGGTGCGTCTAGACGAATCTGGAATTGGAAAAAAGGTTTTAGATTTAATGAAACTAGGAAAGCTGACCACATACCCATTTTTTTTTTATTTTACCATTTTCTTAATAATAACCACTATGACATTTTTCTTCATAATTCCAATATGATCCACCACCAACATAATATCTTTCGTGGGAGTACGATCAATGCTGAAATACTTATAAACTGTTTCAAATCGTCTCTAGTGTTTATAAGAATTTATATTATTCATCTTAAAGCCTTAATTTACAAGGAGAACAGGTGCTCACCGAGCCGGCGACGGATCTGAGTCGGAAGGTAGTGAGGCAGCTGGCGCTGATGTCGCCGGCGCGGGACTCCAACACTATGTTTTGTGCCGCGTGCATCTCCAGCGAACGCGTCGGCGACTCCAGTCTGTTCGTGAAGGGTAACATGTATTTTTTCTCTATTTTAATGTCGCAAACACATACCTACTTCTGAATTACAATACTTGTATTGATTACAGAAATACTTAAGCGTGTTAGTAACCTTCGCGCAAATTATTTTAAAAGAAAGCCAAGACAAATAAACCTGTTATAATCTTTAAATACAATAATGTTCTTTTCGTGATGGTTTGTTCTATAAATATTTATCAGGACATTTATTTTATAAACTGCTCACCACTTTATTGGAAACTCGGAAAATCTGTCATTAAATAAACAGCAATGTACCTATAAATTTTGGGAAACATGTGGTAAAGGCATGCTTTCGATCGGACAACAAACTTCAGTAGGTGCGTTTGACATAACTGTATGTTCAAACTAACGAGTTCCAACTTCCTCTGCGACGAGGACAAAGCTCGTAAATTTGCTAAAGTACAAACACACAAATATACTTACACCAATGGTTTTGAAGGGGGGGCTTTGACTAGGGGTGTCTGCGCGGCGGCTTGTATGGTGACGCCGGCAGGGCTGACCACGGTCAGTGTTTCTGCCCCGATTGTGACCGAGTCCTGTCCCGCGCCAAGCAACAACGCTCCCCGGGCGTCGCGCACTTCTAACCGACCAACATTCACTTCGAAACGATCGTGGCCTAGAAAATTTCTCAGTATTCAGACTACGCACCGCTAATGAGTTCTTTTAAAAAATCTTATACCTTTGCTTACAAAAGAAACAAAGGCTTAACACTTACCTAGATATAATCTACTCTGTAACATTCCGTGCGAGTCTCTAGTGGAAACGGTAAAATTTCGAGAAGCTTCCATGTAAATTGGATACCCTCGACGTGACTTGATAGTGGACGCGAATAGAGAATCCAACATGAGAGCCTGCCCTAAGAGTTGCAATCCTCCTGGTACTATGCGGAGTTGACCCATTCCTTCCTAAAAGAGAGTTAAGATTAATAATGTAGTAGATAGTTGGTACCTTTAAATTAATTGTGACGATGTCTTACCGAATTAAAATCCAAGACTTTTAGTACCCATAATGTCAGTGCGAGATTGATGACCATCATCAGCATAAGAGTCAAAACCAGAATGTACAAACATTTCTTCCGCCAGCCGTAGATGCCCACTTTGAACTGACTGTTATAGCTGTTCCTGATGGAGTCAGCCTTTGTGTCTCTACTGGTATTGTTGTGCAGTATTGGCTCCGGAGTGATCTTGTCAGCGTACGGTATTCTGCAAGAAAGATCATTATACTTTAAACAATGCAGTATTCAGTCGGAAAATCTCAATATCTGTTTCGGATTGATTGCTGTTTTTTTTCCAATGTTAATGTTGCCTACATTTGTTCATCAAGCCCTAACCTTAGAAAATGATGTTTTATTTTTAAATAAAAGTACTATTTTAATGGTGATTATTAAAATACTTTTCAAGTGTTTTTTATTTTTGTACATACACGGCAAATGAACATTTATTGTACATCATTATAAGTTTCACTTTAGCAGATACACCTAACTTTGTTATTTAATCTAAATTAACTAAAATGTATGTGTCTCGAGTTTTTTCGAGTTAGTTTGTAGTCATAATATTGTTTCAAGTAAAAAAATAGGAATATGAAAGAAACCTGTTTATAAGTGTGAGCATTAAATGTCTCGCTAAACGGTATTTATAGCCATAAAATACAATTGTATGTCTTATTCTGGAAAATTAGAATTGACTTTTAGAAAATATAGTATAGCAATAAAAAGTGTGGGAGAGCCAAGCTTCGGCACAAATGGATCGGCTCGACCAGAGTGATACCACAGCCTCACAGAAAACCGGCGTGAAAAAACCACAGCGTTATGTTTTGCGTGTGAGTAAGATTGCCGGAGGCCCAATCCTGCCCCTCCCTCATCTCTAATCCGTAAATTTCCACAAAATCCTTATACGAGTATCCAAAATACTGGCAACGCACTCTTGACCATGGGTGGAGCCGATAGCTTACCATAAGGAGATCCGTCACCTCGTTTGCCGACCTATCACAACAATATTTGGTACCTATATCCAAAACCCTAATTCCTAAAAAGTCGACAACGCACTCGTAACCTCCGTTGCGGGTGTCCATGGGCGGCGCTGATTGCTTACCAGCAGGTAATCCGAATACTCGTTTACCGACCTATTACATAAAAAAATGATTAGAAACAGAGCTTGTTTAGGGTACATTATTTAGGAAAGGCTTTATTTAAAAAACCGTCCATTGTAATTGTTCTTAAAACGCATCTCTAAAAATAAGTCTTTTGGACAGCAAAAACGAGATGTGAAATGAAAATAAATCTATCACAATAAAAGTCCAACCGGCTTTAAAACATGTTAAAATTAAAAGGAGATTATTAAATGTTATTTAACACAAACCGTTATAAAACTGGCTTCATTCGTTCATTCGTTCAGTTTTACATTCCAATTTGAGGTAGTTTGTAGGGCGGGGTACAGAAGCGGGGGGAACGAAATATGCTCGACAACACGACTTCCACGCGTATTGGTACCATTAAAAACGTCTGTTTTTACTTCGACAGCAAATAAAATGCAGTTTTATATTTGGAATAATTTTATTGTTTTTAAAAACAAGACTTTTATAGGCCAGGAATAAATATGTACTCGTATTTATATGGCGATCGTAAATTCTTAATTACTATTTTCAAAATTATGAAACAGAATTTATTACTGGAACTTTATTATTATGTTAATGTTGTAAGTGCATGGCATTACTTATAAAACCATGAATTTAATTCAATAGCCTATTTGGTAAACGTAGGTTAGGAATATAACTTATATTTATACAAAGGTAAGATGCGAATGGATTTTGGGCTATGCCACAAAGTTCTATGTTCGACTAACAAATTGTGCATTTTACTTTAAGAGGTGAGGTTTTATTAAGATTTTTTATGTGATACGACGCACTGACACTGACATATGTGACCAGATAAACGCACATGCAACTTCTTGTTGCAGTTGTATGAGCATTGCCGGCCATTTGAGGTTTTGGAGATTAAGGAATTAAGGAGGGAGCCGGTAGGGGCAGGATTGGGTATCCGGTAACCTTACTCACACGGTGAAACACAACGCTGTGGTTGTTTTACCGGTTTTCTGTGAGGCCGTGGTATCACAGCAGTTTGGCCAGCTTATTCGTGCCGTAGCATAACTCTCCCACACTTAAATAGACGACGACCTAAAGGACTGTGTACAAAGGAAAAAAAATATTGACCTACAAATGATCTTTCTTATAAACTAAACAACAATTTTGCTATCCAAAACAAATGTTAAAAAAAGGAGATACCATTTCGGTGTGAAAAACAATGAATAAATAATTAGTATTTTGATGTATAAAATAGTTAACTTTTCATAATATAATGTAAAAAGCCAAGTGGCTCTTGTATCAGATGTCTGCTAATGGCCTGGCACTTTCTGTAATATCGTCGGCGTAGTATACATTTTCTTTCACTCTTAAACCCGACTTCATGAACTTGTATGCACACAAAAATATATATTTACATACAGCTAAACAGAAAAGTGCAAATGAATTTCCTCAGTCTATGTTTTTTTCACATTCAAAGCGTTTTTTAACCTTTTAAAATCAAAGCAAAAATAATGAAGACCACTTTACCAACGGGCTTAAAAAACGCTATTTGCAATTGTCATATGCACTACGAAAAAAAACAAAAGTATTCAAAGCCTAACCTAGGATTCCAATAAAATTTTTAACATCAAACTAAACTAGCAACATGTACAGAATTTCGAATGATGGTTGAAAAAATTTAATAGAGATTGTTCCCCAATATTCAGTGTCATACGAAACATATTTTTATCCGAAGCATATGAAAATAGCCCATCGTACATATATTCGTAAAACTAGCCACCGTTAGCGAGCGAGCGTCATAAATTTCCAAGGATTCGGGGACGACAGGGCATTGCACACTGAAAAATTCTAGTAAGCTCCCTCAGGATGTAAGGGATATATTTACAAGTGCATCACAGGAAGCACAGGAGAGGAATTACCCTCCTGTGTCTCGTCTGGACCGGCAGCAATCATATCCTACCTATATTGTTATAGTTTATGCTTTCATTCTTACTTTCTTCTATAAAATACTATACGTAAATATTTTTTAATATTAGATTGAGTCTGGAAAATCTATATCTTATTGAATAAAATTAAGAATCGAAACTTTAATTGTAATATCCAATTTAGCAACTAATGATTACTTAAAGCACTACTACTATCTAAGTAAATATTGTTTGCATATAACAATTGCTACGGGATGAGTTCATTAATGATTAAATGAGCCTACGTAAGATGGTTAGTAAAATAATATATGTAGTTGTGTACTCAACACAGGGCAATCACTTCAACACAGCGGCTCTTGGCAAAGAGCCAAGAAAAATCCTAATAGAAAAAGATATGATATTACAAAGTAAAATAATAAACTAAACTATTTCTTACAGAAATATGTAGTTTAAGTGAAAACTAAAATCTCACAGGATATATTTAGTTCTAGGGGTCTACAAATGTTCAAAGTCCAATAATGGTGCAAAAAAAACATCTAAAATCCATTTAGTGTTTATTCTTAATCCATTATGTTTTCATCTTGGTGTTACGCATAATTATTATAATAGGAATTTAACATATTACATTGAAAATTACACTAATTAAAGTTAATGCGTTAGGAATAAGTTATCTGTAACATTTCAATTCAAACGCAATAAAATAATTTACTCCAATTGTAGTAAGTTTTTTAATGTGTGAGGGCCGACACTTAGATTTTGTCCAGGGTCCTAGGTGCGTGTACAAACGTATAATTTCAGAAATACATCATATTCAGGCTCGAAACAACAATTTGTAGATCACGCAAAGAATTGTTCCATGCGGATCCCATTACACACACACTACACTAACTGTGCATTCGTACAGCCTGTAACTTCAATTTTTTATAAGAAAGGTAAAGAAATGTCTGTGTGGTTACATTTTCTATCAGTGTTGAGAAACAATAGCTATTTATAATGTGGAATGTACTTAACAGAAAATGCATTCTCAGTGCAAACTTCAGCGAGTTGACACGCAGAGTGCTCTGACCGCAAGGGATTCCGATGCTGGCAATCTTGTTGTATACACCGACTTTTGTTGTTAATTTTGTTTGTATCGTGTCTCCAAGTTGACAACATTATACTTAGTTGGTTAACAGCCTGTTTTAAATGTGAATATTTTTGTTTATAAATTTTAAACTGTAATTAATTACTTGTATTAATTTTAGAAATGTTTTACAATGAGTCACATGCGTAAAAAGATTCTTGCCAAAGAATCGTACTTTAGAAATGCATGAAATTACGCTTTGTGACGCAATGGCCCGGAGGTTACGGCACCCGCTACTCATGGACAAGGGTGCGGGTTCGAACGTTGGCAAGTACCAATGTGACTTTTCCGAGTTATATTTACTTTCTATGATTATTTAGACACCACTGAAATACGGTAAAGGAAAATATCGTGATAGAACCTGGACTTATAATTTCTAATTATAAGGTTTAAATCGCTAATCCGCTTTGAGCAAGCATGGTGGTTAATGCTCACATCTTCTCTGTGTGAGAATTGGCCTTTACTTAGCAGTGAGCACTTATAGGCTGATGATGATGACGCTTTGTGACTTACAAAATATTGCTTCACAATACTGTCTGTCGTTTTCGAAAATTTGAAAAAAAAATGTATTTAGTTATTAAGTAAACAATTAATCAGTTGTGAACGGAAGAGGCCTAGTTGATGGCTAAATTAATTTTAAATGATAGGTTAGGATCAACATTTGTAAATTTTCAAATTCCAATTTTCACAAAACATAATAGACTAAACCGAATCACACAACACTTTCATGTTGATAGCGAAGTTAAAAATTCTACATTCATGTTCTGAATATTTATACAGCGCACATTCAGTTATTCTATACTGCGCATAGAGCAAAACATTTCGACTCTGTTATTTGTATCAAAGTATTGAAAAGTCAGTCAACTTTTTTATAACAACCGAGTGTCAATTAAAAGTTTTTCAATCTACTACTCCATCTAAGAAAAAAATTTATTGAAAAACAATTACATCTCCAAAACATGCGATCATTCGGCTCAGCTATAATTCACGCAGAAATTTCAATTCAAACATCGCCTGAAATCTTTTAGCGACTCCCTTCAGGATTTTGGATGAGCCTGATACAATGAGAACCAAA